CTTGTCACAGGCCCAGAGCAGTTGATGATTGGTTTGACCAACAGGACATTCGCAGGGTGATGTGGCCTGCCCAGAGTCCGGATACAAACATAATAGAAAATGTGTGGAATGATATGTCAAAACTTTTTACAAATGCCCGTCTAACCAGCAGAGAAACTCTGTTATATTCAGTGTTTCATGCTTGGGCCAGCATAAGCCCTGAACGCATCAGACAATTAAATGAATCCTTGCTTCGTAGACTGGCACCTATTATTAGGTCACGTGGCTATGCCACTAAGTACTAATTTTGGACTTGAAACTACATATTTTGGCAGAATGTATATTTTGTTCTCATTTTGTGATTCTTTGTGAAATTTGATGTTAATAAAATGATACCAGGAGCATATCATTCCACAGTCATTTATCTCCCCCATAGTATTGGCTCAGTAGGGGTGACACTTCTTTTGTCCAGTGTGTGTAAATTAGTTTAATAAGACAACCGATACTATACGTATAGTAAACAAACAAACACTGAAGTCTTATAATAATAATAATAATAATAATAATAATAATAATAATAATAATAATAATACTGATAATACAACTACTACTACTACTACTACTACTACTACTACTACTACTACTACTACTAACAATAATAATAATAAATATTTGATATCGGAGTAACTTACTAAAATGTATTAATTATTTACTGCTAAAAACTATCCAATTGCTTAACTTAAACGTTCTGAGAGACTATCATTTTTTTGTCTGTTTCGGTACGTAATTTCTGTAGTTTTTCATCTTTTGCCGTCTTACTTAAAATTTTTGTTTTCCCTTCATCATGTATTTGCACATTAATGGCACATAAAACCCAGTTAACTTACCTATAACGCGAATTGTGTGTCCCCATGACGTCTGTCTCTATGACATTTTCTTTGTCACGGACCAAATTCGTTTGAAGTGCCGATAAAATGGAGCGCTTGAAATTCATGACATTTATATTCCCTGTAACAAATGTAAAAGGTTATAGCAAGAAGTTCTGTTAAGAGCAGATTAAAATGTAAATATACAGAACAGATACCCACTTCGCATGGTTTTAAAGAACGTGACGCATTCATGTAATTACTGTTCGATCCAGATTTTAGTGCATGTTACGAGGAAGGGGGAAAGACAGGTTATATCCAGAAAGAGATATGTGTAACGTGTGGAAACATCTGATCGAAACGCCTAACCTAAATCTTTCTTGGTAAACCTAGCCTCGGCAATAGTTCCGTTCCCCAGTTGAACAAACCAGGTAGGCTGGTCATATAGGTCGTCAGCAGACAGGGGAGCCTCGGACTGGGAGGTCGTGCTGAAACGAGTATTTTTGAAATCAGTGCCAAAATATTATTCCACGCATACGACTAAGTATTTACATGAGCTTGGTTTTGATTAATTATTTTACCATTCTGATAGGCTACGTCACAACATCCAAACCCAAAATTGAAAAAGAAACAACTTTGTGATGAACAGATGCCCTACTAAAAGAACGTCTTAGGCTACAAAAATGTCACGTATGCTTAACCCTCAAGTGACCGAGTGGGGTCATTTACGACCCCAGCCATATGATTTAATGTGCCATCTCTTTATTATTTATTCGAATTTTCTTTCCCTGCATGAGTTTGTCAGTCTACTAATCCTACACACTTTCACAGTTTTTTGTAGGGATCAACCAATTAGTGTGGCGTATACATCACAAACTCTCGTGGGGTCATTTATGACCCCAAAGAGAAGCATTGGTTTTTAAATATTAGTTTTCAAATTTTATTTAAATGTTTTGCCCACGCAACACTGACAGACAAATGTCACATGCATCTGCTTCATGCAACCAGCCAGTGTGCCCAAAACATAGGCACAAATAAGTGGTTTGTGAAGATTGTGCTTGAAGTGTTACTTATAGTAATTTCTAATTTCAGTAGCTTTGTTGGAACTTGTTCTCATAACTGGATCTCTCATTTTGACGGTTTCAATATTCGGGTATTTCGAAAATCTAAAGAATTCTGTCGATATCATATTATACATATATTAAAAAATTGTTTGTGTGGATTTTGTTTTATACACAGATGTGGTAGTAACATATATGTAGGTTGATTGAATGTGTTCTGAGTAGTATGACTTCCTTACCAGCATTAGGGTATTCCTACTCAGCAAGTCAGCTAATTATTCTTTTTGAAGTTAGCATGATGCTATCTCAACATAAGTCAAAATATTTTTACTCAAAGTAATTTTGTAATGTACTTTTTTCATTAGTGTGGCAAATAAAAAGAGAAATATTTCTGCATGTGGAAACTGACAAGGACTGTCTAAATACCGGTTTAATATTGTTCTTAAAATCTGTGCTTGGTTATTTCATGCAAAATAAGTATTATTACCAAATACTTATTACATTAGATCATTATAAAATTCTTGTCTTAAATCCTGGGAGTAGTATAGGTGTGATAAACCCTCAATAGCCTTCTATAATAAGGATCCCTGTACAGAACACAATGGGGTCATAGATGACCCCACTTGGTCATTTCAGTCAGTAAAATAGCTTGGTCTCTTGAGGGTTAAGTACGTGTTGCAACATTAACTGAGATGTAATTAAGCTGGTGATATGGTCCTTACCCATTTCCCTTAATCACTTGCACAAAAACATTATGCATAAACATAAGGAAGGACGAAGCATTTCCGTCTATGTAGTTTCCAAAGCCACCTGGAAATCATGGAATGCATTTTAAAACATATTACCCCAACATTGTGTACATGTAGGTAATGCTGCCAGAAATGCCCATTAATATTACCGTTCGTAAAGCAATATACATGTACTTAGATACTTTGCTGGTACATTCAATGAATAAGTTATTAAACTGTTACTAAATTGAGTAAAATAAATCTTCTGTTATAAATGTATAGTAAAATATGTTAATTATAACACAAGAAATCAAATGGTAAAAAGTACAAAAAGTAATAACATTATGCAGAACGTAAACGCAGTAGTATTTTTTTAATAAACATCAATTCAATGGGGAGTGTTTAAGAGATAAAGCACATGCGGAGTGAGTTAATTATCCATATAAAGTGTTACGGTTACCTCCAATATACTCCACATCTACATCAGCCGAGATGTGAAATATTTCCTCTGCCGGGCCAAACAGTTTTGCCTCGCTTTCATAGTAGTAATGGAGAGTTGTTCCCTGAAAAACCAAGAAAATGCGCGTTATTTTTTTCTGTCTGTGGATTCACTCATATTTTTTCCAGGCTGTAAAATTAAGAATTAACGACGATTTAAATATGTCATAAAGGAAGCGGGTAGCCCGGAATACATAATAATAATAATAATAATAATAATAATAATAATAATAATAATAATAATAATAATAAATAAATAAATAAATAAATAAATAATATATATTCGCTTCACTCTATACAGTTTATTTATCATTTCTCCATGCATCCCAGAGGAGCCGGAGACTTTAAAGGAGGGACTGTGATAGAATAATGTCTCTAAAATTGTTCAAGGACCGCTAACAAAAGTATTACGTATAATTATTTAATATAAACATTATTGAAAAATGAAGAAAGTAGCGAAAATAGAAAACATCCGGGTATAGTTTTGAAAAATGAAAATATTATAGGTTACATGTTATTAAATATTTTTTTAAGTTGTGAAACTCAAACTCGCCTAAAAACAATTAACAGTAACAAGTATTTCAGAAAATTGCAAAAAAAAAAGAAATGATATAAACCTCACAAGACTAAGTACACTTACTTGCAAACCAGCCTTATGCTGCGCAGACGAATCCTTCGACACGTAGTCCTCCTGGTCCTTGCTTAAGGTAGGCCGCGCCAGAGCAACAACGAGGTACAGGTAAATAACATATAACCTCATCTTCTTGATAAACACGTGACTCGAAAGTAAACGATGTGGAATAATGACTGCAAAAAATACTAAATAATTTAAAAACGTGCATACCGTGTAATATAAACGATGAAAAAAATAACCAAATTCATACCTGTCCCCGAAATGTTTTTAAAAAGTGTTTTGTGGATTTTCGTTGATTACGTAATTGAAAGTACATGCTCAAATAAAGATATTTACAGAGTCGAGTAGGAAAAGGGCTCTAATGATATGAAACATTTATTAAATAAAAAAAAATCTGGCTGATGAAAATACGGGCAACAACAACAACAACGACAATGATTATAATATTAATGAATAAAGGAAGAAAGAATGAATGAACAAAAGGAACCATAAGCACTTACCAGCTCCAGATTCTGCCTTCTTTCCCGCAGGGCCTCAATACCTAGTGTGCTCCTGTGTCCGCTCTTTTTATACACTTCGCTAAGAAACTTACTCATTTAACAAAGGCCTAATTTATTTTAATTAGACAATACATTTCCTTGTTTACCTGTACCGATATTAATTGTAATTCACTTCATTAATGCTATCTGTGAAAATGATTTCCTTGGACAGATTAACCCACAGGGACGTGCAAAGACGTGTTAAGACAACATCCCATTTGAGATCTACACTGTACAGGCACGAGGCGCTCCATGAATAAAACACATACAACCAGCTCTGTGCTAATACAACGAAAACATCTTAACTGTCAATTTATCTCAGTGGATGATCGTGAAAGTTATTTCCGGGTAAGATCCCATGCAAAAAAAGGCTTTGTTATTTTTACTATAAACATCATATTTTGTTTCTTATAAATGCTTCATTGTTTTTCCTTCAAGGCTCCTTCTTGATCTGTTATGTGTGTGTGGCTTTTTCCATTCTTATACTCCTTGACCATTTGAGTTGACTTTTTAAAATTTAAAAACAAATAGACAAATGAATATATATAAAAAGACAAAAAAAAAAAAAAAAAATCAATGTGATCAGAATAGACAAGTTGAAGGGGAATAATTCTATAAGCAAATTTGACAAAACATCCTTCAACCAAAATCAATATGAAAGATATATAATATTGATTTAAGAACCACAGATAACTGCACATCATGAAGGTGTTTTTCATATGTAAAGCTTAATCACTGACGTGGTAAAGCAAGTATAAAATGCAGCACACGGGTCCAATATGCATGTTCAAATATACACGAAGGGTTAAAAGAAAAAAGGTTGAATGGATAACGTTCAGTATGAATAAATAATGAGAATAAATTAAAATAATCAGATAATGTTCCCTTTTGATCGGGTTTTTAAACATTCGAAGTAATTTATATTCATTTATGTATTTTTCGAAAATGTTTTCCTTGTATTTGCTATTTTAGTTTCCCTTCTTCCTCATTAGTAAACCAAAGCAATGTATATATGTAAATTAAAAACCACAGAATGATCTGATGGACAATTAACTACTTTCTCAATAGGCTGCTTTATGAATGTTTAAAAATTTAAATTGTGAGAGAGAGAGAGAGAGAGAGAGAGAGAGAGAGATTCTTTGTAGTCCAGCCATCTGTACTGACGTCACCTAAAATAACACGGAACTTACTGTTACTTTTGACTGATGTCATGTCATATTTCTGATGCTGCGGTGGAAATCGGCCTTCACAATAAATTACTTATTATGTGTTAATATTTGGAATTTCTGTTTAGATAATCTCAGTTTACAGTGGCATAACATAGGGAATCAAAAGCAGTTTTCTTCAATTTTTACAGATAAACGTGCTTAGCTTAAATCACTTCTGTTTTTCGTAAAATATTTTTGGCAATGCTTCCTCCCTGCTAGCAGTAAATCCTGTACGGCTGGTTACCCGACTGTTTAGAGAAAAATAAATTATAAGAAAAAAGTATCAGATGCAAGGGGATTTATTGAACTCACTCCTAATTACATTTATACGTGAACCATCGCATGGTTTCATTTAGACAAGAGATAAAATCCATAAAATCGGAATATATAAAATAAAAATATTGACGACGAGAAACTATCAGTACGTGTAAATGCATAGATAGATATAGATATACAGTGTTGAAATTCTACATATTGGTACTATACACATTACATGTTTAAGTGTATATTGGGAATTTGTCTTCAAGTCATGTGATCGTGATATATCTTTAGATAGTCCTAACAATCTGGTAAACTCCGAAATCGCCCACCAGGTGTCGCTTTTTAACAAGAAAATGTTTTGCAATTCATGGATTTGCCTTAATCTATTGTACTTGCCAATATATATTTTTAAAAGAATTTTATCAAATAGTTAATCCATTTGACTGTTCCACTGTGTCTATACATTCACCCAACACTTCACGATATTCTGCATTACACAATGAGCAGATGATGATCTGCTAATTGACTCCTCTAAAAGTTACAAAATAGATTCTTCATACAATATTTAAAATTCAAAATTTTAGTCACCCCAATATCTTATTTATCAAAAAGGTCCTTCATCAAAGAATGGGACCATAGGTGTCGCACTGGCTTCTACCTGGGTATGCAATTACTCACCGAATCCCACTAAATCAGTATTGTTATATAATGTTTACTATATTTCTACAGAGAGTATTCTGAATGATTATGTAAATCAAATAAAACAGATTCACGATTGTAAAATCCGTAACTCTTGATCCAATTTTTTCCCTTTATGAATGATCGTATTTTAAGCATGCTCAAATGACACTTGAATATGAAAATAACTAAAAAATAAATGAAGAATGATTAATTAACGACCAAATAAAATATTGATCCATTGCCTATCAAGTTAAAATATTGTTGTATTTAGCATTCGTAACATCAGTTGTTAAATAATAAGAAATAAACCAAGCGACCTATCATTAAAAACGAATGATTCTATAGAAAAAAAAATTGCCATATAATAAAAGAAATAAGTGGTATGCATGAAAAGCAAATCATTCCAACAGTATCCTTCAGGGCCTGAATGAACTACAAAAGTAATTTGCTTAGTTTCAAAAACATCACTAAAAAGCTAAGATTAACAGAAACAGCCCGCGTCTGTTCTGTGATCTAGATATCTATGTGATTAACGCAAACCCGTGATGCACGCCCCTGCACACACGCAAACACACATGTACACGTACATGCATGTGCGAAAACGTCTATTAGACACATAATAATATCTTGAGACTAAATCCAGAACTGGACTTTGTGTAATTCATATAACAAACATGCCTAGCATTTGCCCGCTCTAGCGATGAGTCTTCTACTAGATTTTCCCAGGCTCCAAGACAGCGACGATGGTCTCCACGTCTTTCTGTTTCCCCAGGTCCATCTCCACTTCTAATATGAAATGAGTCATAATAGAATTAATGATTAAACGAAATCATAACAATAATAAAACAAATAATAAACATGACAAATCTTATAATAACCTTAAGTTATTTAAAACGATTTAAGCCGTGCCGAATCAAATTAAATTGAACTGAACTTTAAATTAAACCACTTGAAAACTCACCCAGAATCGCCAGCCTCTAATCTTAAACTTAGAACGTATCTGATACCAAGCTTGTATGTTAATCTTCATGGGGTCGTGACCGTGGTAGATCGAGAAACAAATGCCAGGGTAGAGCTTCCCCTCTCCTTCAATTAGGTAATTGAGGGTGACACCGACGTCAATCCCGCCGCGAACCAGTGCCTGGAACGAATGTGCGCATTGTCTGTATTGGAATAATCCCACCTTAACCTATATAGTATCCAGACGATGATATAAAGTATTAATGCTACAGCCAGAGCTTTGTTCAGAGGTTAAAACCGATTTAAGGTATAACAAAAATTGTTTATAATAATTTTGTAATACCTTAAATTAATTGAACTAGCATACCTTATTTTGGTGTTTATTCCACCAAACATATACTGTAAATACTGCCTTGATAGTAACAGATATACCTTTAAATAGAAACCCTCTGGTTTTTGTTTCAAACAAATTATATATATATATATATATATATATATATATATATATAGAGAGAGAGAGAGAGAGAGAGAGAGAGACAGACAGACTTACAGCCAAACTAGCAGAAGCACCACCAGAAATACGGACACCTGCTTTGAGCGTCATCGTCAGACAGTGGGAACAGGGATCTGTTGAACGAGAACAGAACCCTGCCCTGACACTGAAGTCCACAGTTGGAGCCAAGGTAATGGTGACGGAGATTTTGGCCACATAGATATAAAACCGGAACACGGTGATGGTTTTTGGTGATGGTCTGTAAATGGGATAGTTTTTGTATAGTGGGCCGGACTGATATATGTTCACCACAGTCTTCCCATAGACGTGGAGATAAACCTTTGTCCTACTGCTGCTAGCCTTATAACGATAGACTTCTGCGGTTGCGAGTGTGAGGGTTTTGGAGAAGACTTTGATTTTAGCTACAGACTTGCCGTACACTTTACAGTGTCCTCGTCTTTTATCTATACCAGCAAAGACGCCGGACTTGACATAGACATGAGCTTTCGAAGGACCGTAACTGATGTGGGAAAGGCAGTGCTTGTTGTCTGGGTACAGGGAATTATCACTTGAGAACTGCCCTGAACTTAATAAATCTGAATACCGTGAACCGTGGGTGCTCCAAGAACTGCAGCTAGTATGGTCAACTCTTCTCTTGGTGCGCGTCGAATTAGTGGTGTAGTAAGTTTTAAAAGTATTGCCAACTGGTACACCTTTTAGTTGGAAATAGTCCTTAATGTCTGAAAATGCGCATTCATATTTAACATCTGCCATAAAAAGTGCATTGAGAAGAATTGTGTCTACGTCTGTGAGGCCTGAATTGGGCCATGCCTTATTTTTGGTATCCAGCACCTTTCTGTAAGCAAGTTCGCGTTTGATGGTCACAACAGCAGCTTCACGTAATTCACAGGTAGATGTTGGGCGAGTCAGCAGATCTTCTAGCCATTGCTGAACCGACTCCACGTGGAAGTTTCTTCTTAGAGCGTGGATACAGCCTATCTCTATCTCTTCTACTTGTCCTTCTTTTTTGGCAATTGCTAATACATCTGGTGTAAGTCTATTGTCGCCAAAGTTACCTATAGCCTCAAGAGCGTCACTGATTTGTTCTGTGTTGTTATTTTTGTCGCCTGATTGAAGATGGCTTCGAAGAAGATCCACCAATTCTGACCGGAAATCCTTGCTGGTAGTTTCCTTGGAGGCGAGGGAGCCGAGGGTTAGTATGACATGACTTTGGGATGGATCGCCTTGAGAGGTCAGCGTGTTCCAGAGTGTCTTGACTGTAGTTAAGATGTGGTTTGTGGGTTTGGCAATAAAGGACAACTTCTGAACCAGTTCCTGTTTTTGCTCGGTTGATAGTGGGTGAGACAGGACCAGATCCGACAGAATCTAGAAAAGACAAGGTATGTGTCTGTGCTACGCATTATATAAAATTTAGTCAAAGATTCTACACAGATTTTTGTCTGTCATCCTTTTTTCAGAGATATAATTAAACATGTGCAAGATAACAGTCAACTAGAGTAGAATAGAAAATAGTTTACTAGTTATTCCAAAGTTATACCAATAAATAATACTTTGCTGATTCTAAACGTTACCTTTTCGACATCTTTGCCGCCTGCAGTGATGTGAAGATCCAAAATTTCTTTGCAAATTTCCCAATTTTCCGAACACTTGGAAACCACCTAAAACGTACAAGTCATATATCACCTATCATAAACCAGTTGCTGTATACATTTTTGCATTAAGAAAACGTTATACAAAAACCCACCCATTCTGAAAAGAATATATGTAGAAAAGCATAAAAATGTTGTTTTTGCAAGTATTCAAACATGTATTTAAAAATAGAAAGATTAGTAAAGTATTTTTAATAATTAAGCTATTAAAGTAAAAATAATAATAATAAAAATCTCATGAATAATAGGAAACAATCTTGTTGGTTTCCTAGGTATTGAATACAACAAAGTGGTATTTTTTATCTGGCTATTAATATTATGTCAAATGAAAACCAAAATTAACACATTTTCATAAAGCGTTATTAAATGATATTAAAGACAAACCTCTTTTGTAACTTGTATCAATTGCTTAACTAGGGCTGGTGTGTTGGCGGCTGCAGAGGTTGCAGTGTTGTGTGGCATCCCGAGTTCATTTTCCAGAGAAAGGATTTCGTTCACTTCGTGTACTGTAACAAAAATCAGGCCAAATATGAAGATGCATTTAAATGAGGGTGCATTCGAAAGGCAAAAATTATTTTCAACCGTGGTTCCAATATGTAGGTGCGACAATAAATAATAGTTATCTGCTATATTAAAATATGCATTGATGTATAGTATGTCTATGATTATGATTTTTAACCACAAATATTGATAAGTCAAGAGCCATTTAACACTGTTGGTAACTGCATGTATAACTGAACGTCTCTTAATTAAAGAATGAAATAACGCAAAATTACATACATTTTGACGGATCTGTTGGATCTTTCATAAAGTTTGTCACAGCTTGACTTAGCTTATCTTCTTTATCGAACTTTTTCCTCAGAATAGTCCATCTTTGGTACACACCAGACACTGAAATAGGGATCACACAATGTAGCACACGACAGTATGTAAAATAAAGTAGATACATAATTTCGTTATCAAGATATATAGGAAAAAACTTTCAATAGACACACTTATTAATGGTGCATGCAAAAATCAGAAAGTGTGCTTGGTATCTTCTCTGAAGTAAAACGTTGAGCAACGGTATTTTAGGTCAAGGAAACAGGACCTTATGTGTCCCCCCTTAGCTCCAGTCTTCTACTTGTCTCTCTCTCCCTCCCTCCCCAAAAAGAATATGTTACGATAGGAAGCAATGTAACTAGGACATTTTGTACATCTACTGCACTTACCCTGGTCATACTGTCCAACCAAGGACCGTTTCTGGAATTGTGCGTTGGCCACTGCTTCAATTCTTTGAACGCCTTCAACGGAACGCTTAACGTGCTTACGCAAGGTCAAGGTAAAGGTCACGTTAGAGGTCAAATATACCCCAAGGTCAATATTACCCCCTTCCTCAGGGTTGGCAGTAGTGTCATCCTGAAGAAATAAGTACATCAACGCTATACATTACTTTATCTCATACACTGTATAATCAATTCTGAGGGCATTCAATTTTGTGCTATATCATCTAGCTGCAAAGTTCAAAACACTAGACTCTGTTAGATATTCAATTATTGTTTAATAATAATATGATAATTATATGATAAATTTCCACTCATTTTTTTCACCTGACTAGCGTTCCTAAGGCAAACAGTTATCAACATGGCTTTAAATGTAGTTTGTCTAGTAGATAAAGGATGTACAGAATTTGACAGAGCAGCATGGCCCAGTAGCAGCAGGATATGTTTCACGTAATATTCATTTTACATTACTTTAAGTTATTGCGCTGCTATATTAAATTATACGCACCTGTTCTACGGGTTTTTGAAACACCTGCACGTGTCCGGAGACGCTGGTCAGTATACCTCCACTAACACGCTGGACTTCATCAGTCTCGATGTCCACTTCGTCGGTGTCCAAGTCAGTATTATTGTCGACGTAGATGTCCTTGGAGGAAACGTGCTTCTTGACTTCTATTTCTCCAAACTGCAGCTCTGTTAAACTAAGGTCGAAGGATTGACATTAATTATGCAATGGTTACATTATGAATAGATAATGAAATTGATGACATCAACAACACTGCACATTTAGTTTAAGTAAAAGAAAGAAAAAAATGAAAATATAATGATATAAAAAGACATAGTGGGATGACACATATCATATTATACATGTATGTTAAGTACAGATACAAACGATGAAAACCGCATGCCAAAAACAAATAAATATACAGATATACAGACTTGACATTTAATATGGAATATTTCAGTTTCGAAAGTATGCCTAGGTAAAAATGCATTCTTTTTTTAAAAAAACTCCGATCTCATATAAAATATGTGAATGGAGAAGTGTGTAGTCAGGTGTATCGCTTCCAATTAACTGAATACCAGGTTTGTTGCGCTGCTGCATTATGTAATATGCAGTGATTTAATTGGGTAGTGCTCCTTTGGGCAGGTCAAAGCTTGGCTTTGGCAAAGCATGGTTATGTCAAAAATTATCCATATGTCGGAAACTACTGCATAGAAGAATTTGAAATTTTGCATGCAAGTGGTCTGTTTTGCAGTATGTAAAATTAGCTATGCAGTGCACTGCAAATTTGTCAATCTGTGGCAGAATGGCGCGAAAAAGTCAGAGATTGCCAGACAGATAATTGCGCCAAACGAAACGGTCCGCACAGTTTTATAGAGTAATGACCAGACTGATGTACCTACACAGAGGCCACACCCAATGTATTGAAATCTTACCACCAGGGTACAGGACTTACTGTCTGTCGGGATATGCTGTTGCAACTAAACAAAAACTACCCAGTCCGTTCAGAATGAGGGCTAAATTGCCACCAAAACGCATTTTTCAAGGCCCTTAGCGAACACCAAACTGGTTTTAGCTGGTTAGAATACCAGACGACCTCAGGGGAACCCACTGTAAACAGCAAAACATCGTTGTATGTTTCTCTAATGAATTGGGGACCTTGACCGTTTCTGAGTTGAACACTGAAACCTCGTGGCTTTCTTAATTGAGGTCAGATTTCACCTGTACCGCTCAACTAGTCAAAACAGAGTTTACAGACATACAGAAGAGACCAACGACTAAGCGTGTGCCGCGTCTAAAGTGACTAAGGTCATTAACAGCGTCAGCAATTGGAGTGGATACCACATTGGTCATCCACTGATGGTCATCCACGAAAACCTGAACCAGATCAAATAAAGGAATAATCTGGGAACCACTTGACTATCATTTGATAGGGGGCACCTTAGGAACAATTTTAGGTTGCACGGTGAAATAGCCAGTACACACAGAGCACTTTTAATAGCAGATTACTTACAGAACCAAAGGAATGAGCAGCTATCTTGGTAATCAAAATCGCCATATTTGAACCACATAGACAATATGTGGGTAGGCCATTACTCGCCGAATCAATGGCCTACATGTTCTACAAGAAAACTGGACCAAATTGGACAGATTTTGACTGATGCCTGGAATGTTATTCCAGATTGAACCCTAAAAACCTAACCCAAGGAATGCCGTGCCACTTGAGAGCGCTGGTAGCAGACAGAAGAGGTCAAGCGTAACAACGACCGTTACTGTGACTAGACACTGACATTGGGGGTTCTTTGTGAGGCGTGTAACTCTTTTACAGAAAATAATTTGGAAAATATGGCGATCCAACATATCTCTTTTAATTACTGTCATATGACATAGAATAGGCAATTTGTTTTTGTTTGCTTCTTTGGCGAATCCCATTAATGAACTGATGTCACTATGACATCAAAGAGATAATTAAAAGTTGTTTAAACACGATTTTAATCCTTATTTTCATTTATCAGTCAGCAAAATAGGAAAAAACTGATGAAAAATGATTGGGAAAAAAATATTCCATATTAAATGTCAAGTCTGTATAAATAGAGAAGAACAAATAATTTTCAAAAATGTTGAGACGGATCATGCGTTCCGCTTTTTTTCTTGGGTAATTTTTTCAGCTCTCTGCTTCCTCGCTTTATTTTTTCATTTCCATTTCTATTTTTTGCCTGCATCATGCAATTTGCACATAAATGGCACATAAAACCAGTTAACTTACCTATAACGTGAATTGTGTGTCCCCATGACGTCTGTCTCTATGACATTTTCTTTGTCACGAACCAAATTTGTTTGAAGTGCTGATAAAATGGAGCGCTTGAAATTCATGACATCTGTATTTCCTAAAATAAATGTGACAAGCAAAGTATAAGTAACAATTGAAAAAAAGCTGCACATATGGAATAGATACCTACATCGTTTGCTTCAAATAATCTTACATCCTCTTCTTACTTCTGTCAGGTTTAGGATTTTTAAGGGCTGGAGAGGCATCCAAATCACCCAAGGCATGCTGTATATTTAACTAAGAGTGGTTTTATCCATGTTGAAATACTTGGCGCATGGAAAGTTCTTAACCCAACCACACCTTACCTAAATCTTTCTTGGTAAACCTAGCCTCGGCAATAGTTCCGTTCCCTAGTTGAACAAACCAGGTAGGCTGGTCATACAGGTCGTCAGCAGACAGGGGAGCCTCGGACTCGGAGGTCGTGCTATTGGGATGGACACGAAAAGAAATAAAATGATGTGAGGACCAAAAATGATAAAAAACATCTATACCGACGAAATAAATGAAGTTCTCCTTCATCAATATGTAGCTATTTCACCATTCTATTATGCTATTGATATCAAGATTTGTCCAGACTTAAAATGGTTAAGAAAAAACATTTTTGAGAGTATGTATTCAAAAAAAAAAAAATTCGTTCTGTAGATAAGTTTATTCATGTTCGTAGGTACTTTTTGCAAAAGTGCTTAGAATATTTAGCAATATTAAGTAAGTTTTAAGTTAGGTAACAGGGCCTCACCCATTTCCCTTAATCACTTGCACAAACACATTGCGCATAAACATGAGGAAGGACGATGCGTTGTTATCAAGGTAGTTTACAAAGCCATCTGGAAAACAAGCAGTGCATCAACATTACGTACGTGCCTAAAACATTGCACAATACTTTTCTTGAGTAATTGTATTTAAATATCTTGCACGTAAATGGATAAATTAATTTTAACGTATAACTGTAGTCCTTCATACAATTAAATCTATAAGCAGATTTCCAAAAAAGAACATTTAAAAGGAAACATATATTAAATAATACAGAATATTTTTAAACAATTACATTCTGAAAAGTGTCAGCGTTAGTATTCGTATTTTTATCAAATAATGTAACAATGCCCGGAGGAGTAGAGAAACAACTAAATAGCCCATGTTACGACACGTACATATATTGATTATAAGTACATGTGCATAATAAAAAAAATATATAATCTTATTATAAATGGTACTAAATACCTCCAATATACTCCACATCTACATCAGCTGAGATGTGAAATGTTTCCTCTGCCGGACCAAACAGCTTGGCCTCGCTTTCATAGTGGTAATGGAGAGTTGTTCCCTGAAACCGCATCGAAACGAAATTATAAACTTCTCATCATTTCCTCTCTCTCTCTCCCTCTCTTTCTCTCTCTCTCTCTTTTCAACAGCGATCAGTATTTGAAGACGATACATGTAGTTGAAACCAATGATGATGGGATGTGGGGGGAGAGGCATGAAAAAAATATATTTGCTTTACTTTCATACCATCCCAGAGGCATTACAAATCCATTGTCGGCAGGGGCAGCGTGATTGTAAATTGTTTGCCCAGATTCGGCCCAGGTATTGGTAGAAAAACAAACACGATTTTACGGATAATATTACATATAATCAAAACAGGTATGACTGAAAAAAATCCAGTATATACTTTCGATGAAGAACATTTACACAATGACGGAAATGCACCAGGGAAACGTACACGTAAGGTAGCCTGTGCAATAGCGACATCGAAGCAAAAAAGGAACATATAACCGCATCTCCTTCATAAAAACGCTTCTTGGGAAGATAACAATATCATTGAGATAACTGCGTTGAAGACAGCAGGCGCAAAGTTACTGCATAGTAGTGAAGACGGGCTGTACCCTAGGAACGCATCGTGGATTTTAATCAGTGGGTTTTCTTATTATTTTTCATTGTTTTAACTAAGATTTAAACGACGATTGAGGTGTGGGGATGTGGGTAGCTTGAATAGGAAAAATACATTATTCGCTTCACTGGGGTACACCACATCCCAGGATGGCTGGGGATTTGAATAGAGGACATCAGCTGCGTTAGAAATATGTCCCCGGAATGGAATAAAGAGAATAAACTATCATACTCCCTGATACCATTGTTAATATTGAAAAATGAATATATATATAGATATGATACATATAGATATGGGAGTATAATTTCGAGGAATATCTACATATGTATCATACAATGTACATTGCGTGTTATCAAAAAGTTTACAAGCTACGTTCAAAACCTAAAATTGTGTTGGCCAAGCTCGCTCAAAAGTGACAAATACATTTAATTGTTTTAATGTAAAATGAAATGAAAAAAAGATTAGTTCACGGGATAAAGTGTAATTCATTAAATTAAGTGCTCTTACATGTAAATCAGCCTTAGGCAGTGCGGACGAATCTTTCGACACGTAGTCCTTCTCGTCCTTGCATAAGGTAGGCCGCACCAAAGCAACCACGAGGCACAGGTAAATAACATAAAACTTCATTTCTTGACACACGAATCTTGCTAAGTTGGCGAGGTGGTAGAAATAACTGCAATAAAATATTAGTTACATCAGGCTACATTTCTCTACTTCTATGATTGTATGGGATAAATTTGAAGACAACATAAGACACAAACATTGATATTTTGCACGTTTACCTTAAAATGTTGTGAAACGTGTTTTATAACTTTCGTTTAATTATACATTAAAGACATTAGAGAGTACAGGCTAACACGAAAATATACTTTAACTTGACGTTTGAAGTAGTTTAAAGAACATTAATTTATCTTTCTCGAATATAGCACCAATGCGAGTAGTGAAACGGCTTTTTTTTATTTCGTTATATATCATGTTTGACAGGAAAAAATAAACTGCAGAAAATGTGAAATGCCGAACTTAAAACCAAATATTTTGTTTTCAAATAACTGGAACTTAGGCTATTTTGGTGCCAAAATTCGACATTTCTTTTTTAAAAAATATAACAAAAAAAAACTCGGTTTAAATTACGTCTCCTATTATACGATGTCGTGAAATGTATTTATAAAAGACATTTAAAAATCCAGAATGGCGTCCAACAACTGCAACAACAAGAACAATAATAATAATAATAATAATCATAATCATAATAAATGTAAGGCATCAGTATGGCGTAATCCACTTACCAACTCCAGACTTTGTTTTCCTTTTTCCAGGGCGTCAGTAATTACTGCTCCTCTGCTACATCCACTCTTTTTATACAGATCACAAAGAAATGTTTTCACATTAGAAAACCAAATTTTATTTTAATTAGATAATGTATTTCCTCGTTTACCTTGTAGTGAAATTCATTGGAATTCGTGTCATTAATATCTCCTTTGAAAATGGTTTCCCTAGACAATTTAACCCGCAAAATATATTGACAACACTGCATGTGCGAACGACATCACACTGCGAACCACGAATAAAATGCAGCCAGAATGTGGTGAAACGACAAAGACAGACAACCCAAACTTTACACTTGGTGATTAATGGTCTTGTTATACCTCACAATAAACTATTTCTTGATAAGCGTACAGGGAAGAAAATGACAGAGGTTCCTCATGTGTGGTCTAGCCACATCATCAATGTAGGTTTTATTCAATACGTACGAAACGGTTGAGTTGTTTGCGGACCCATCCCTGTTACTGAAGGCTTAGTTATTTAATAATATGAACAATGAAGGCTTAGTTATTTAATGATACGAAAATACTTTTTCTTATATTCTTCTTCTGTTTTGTTTTTGCCTTCATATGTTACATTTTTTATTATGTATGTGTAATCGGTCCCATTTTTATGGTACGCCGTTTATGTTCATTCAATTCATTTAAGTAAATGACTGTTATTCTTTGAAAATGTTTTCCTCGTATTAGCTATTCAGCATCTTCCTTCTTCCTCATTAAAAAATCAGAATAATGTATATATGTAAAGTAATGGGACCATTTAGTGGCACGATGGGTAATTAGCTAGGTTCTTGTCCAAATCCGATAGGTTGCTTCGTGATCATAAACGCCATTATTTAAAAATTCAAACTGTTGAAGAGAGAAAGAAAGCGGGTGCGTGTTCTTTTAAGTTCAGTTATCTTCAAACTGTCATCTGTAATTGAACTATCAACATTATAAAGACTGACGTCACATAACATTTCTGGGGCTTTGACGGAAGTCCACAAGTGTGTATGCAGCTTCTAATGATATTTTATTGCATGAATTGAGGAATGAAATAAACCAAGCTACCCCGTTACGTGTACTCGATTGGTTAATTGCAGAATTATTGGCGCCAAAGTTCCTGAAATGTGCATAGAAGTTAATAAACCACACAAATGCACCTTAATTATGGGCACTCGTCATTTACACACTTTTGCACATATAATTTTATTATTTTCCCCAACCGGAAAGAAAAAAAATGTTACGCGCTAACAGGTACAAATAAGATGTGCTCGGAGCTTACAACCGTAATTGTATTACTAATTTTAATTATTAAAATACATAATTGCATTGTATTGTACACATAAGGGAATTATGTTAAACAACCAATTTAGACAAAACCTACTGGCTTGAAACGTAGATGATCGAGGCATTGGGGTATATATATCCCGAGCAAGGCGTACCGTTACGCTTACAGATACAGTGATTAACATTGCTCAAGATTTAACAAAAGAAACTATGCTGGTGATGGAGAGGCTTTTCCAAACGACATCTAATTCAAATACAGGGAAAAGGTGAGTACGTCAGGCTGAGCAGTCAGTCTATGTCACTTCGTGGGATAAAAATAACAGATAATTTTCTTTTAATTCTTTTTTAGTGAAAAATAACGTTGTCACAATTTACCGTGACCAAATAAAGGGGGGGGGGTAAATTCCGTTGTCTCTTTACTCACGTTTTACATACTTTCAACTATTCCAGCTTGCACGGTTTTTTTTTTATCAGAACAATGTTTATGATTGTAAATGTAAGCAACGGGTGTTCAACGGGTGTTCTGAAGCATACGTCTGTTTCAAAAATGTGACTGTAGACATGTACAATCCCTCTTACTACCAAATTAACTTAAATCCGTTTGATATTTTCCCGGTAAAATCAAAGTTGTCACCGTCATTCGACGTTTTTCAACTTGCATGAGATGTAATTTCAATGAGGATTGACCCAATCATTCTTTCTCATGACTTGCATTTGCATATTTCCGTTATATTTGACTAGGTGATATGCTGTATATTCAAATAAGAGAAGTCGACCTTTAATTTTTGAGAAGCCAAATCAGTGAAACTGTGCCATTTATGCATAAATGACTAAATCGATTTTTATGCTTTATGTTGTAAAGTTTTATAATTCGAGGACGAATTCTTTTGAAGAAGGTGTGTATGTTGTAAAGCAGAAGATAGTTACAAAACAATCAAAACAGAATCAAATGTGTAGGAAATTACTGAGTGCAAATTAAATTTCTTTAAGTGTCAACAAGTGTAGAGATTGTTCTCGAAGCAAGAAAGGATGGAACATTTCAAAGTCACATATAGTTACCCTGAGTGTCAGAGCAACGTGAAAGTTAGTTTGTTTAATATTTAATATACCTTGGAGTCACTTTCACTAGCTCTGACGAACAGCGACAATCTGAGGCGTTCTTCTTCAAAATTTTGCCTGGGGCGCTTCCATATTTGGAACAGCTGTGTTCGCCTGGATCCATATTTGGAAGTCATAAGTCTCGTACGTCACAGGTTTGGCCGCCTGGAGCTGCCTTTCCCGCCTTGCGCTGACATAATCTCGTGCAGACGAGACAAGAATCAAAGTGTCTGACGCGGATTTAGAAGTTTGAATTGAAAATATCTTGCAGTCGAAGGTCAGTGCCACAATATAAGCAACATTTTGTTTTAAAAATTGATTTTGGTGTAGCCGTTGCGCAGCCCTTATAATGGTATCGGGCATCCAGTGTAGCTGTCAAACTTGGCACAACACAGCAAGCACTTGTATTGTGTCTATTATCTTAGGACTAAATATTCTTTTATAAGCAAAAATACAAAAACATTGGATATACCTTTTTTCTTTCAGAAACATTATTTATTTCTCACTTTACATATCTTAAATACAGCAAATAAAATTAAATAAAGCAGAATTAAATTTATTTTACGTTTCATTTTGTTCTGATGACATTCAACTGCAGATTCACTGAGGAGCAGTTCTACTTGATTGACGGAAGCCTAACATGGCCGCTGTGCACTAGAGCCTGGTATTGCGATATGGATTATATATGAAATCAAGATCGAGCTGGCAATACCGGAATCTAGAAGCTAGGGTACATATAGTTGGATTTGATTGATAATTTTTCAATAGATTTGCACATTTCTAACACGTGTAAAACTCATGCAAACTCGAGATGGACAAGGTCCAAACATGAGTAATTGGGAAAATATTTTAAATTAAAAACAAGTCTCTCTGAAATTACCTATTAAGGAAATATTGAATAGCGTTTTGTAACATGAGAATGGAAAATAGATTATAAAATACTGGTGATAATGTGTGAAAAAGAGAGTCGGTGAATAAACGTTCGAAAGCTCCAGACTTGTGTCGTCATTCCTCACTATAACATTTATTTTACATGGCCAATTAAATTTAGGTTCCGACTACAGGTATAAGGCTCGTCTGAGTATCACATTGCAATTATACACATAGGATTGAGATGCCATAATTGCTGTTACATTGTTGACGTTATTAGTAAAATAAATTATGTGAAACACGATAGTCTAATTAAAACTCACGACATTTAGCAGTCTACCTCTTGAACAAAACACAAATGTGTTGTTTGATTCGTCCAGTACTAAAATAATAAATGCATTTTTTTATTTGTCTGTGTATCAATTTCAGGGACCTTGACCTTGAGTTTTATGATGGCAAACTGGAATTTGTATAAATAACACCTTCTCAATGGTGTATGTATGTGAAGCTACACATAAGGCTATTTGTCTATTTACAATAAAAAGAACCTTAAATTGCTATACACAATATCTACAAGCTTCGAAATTATATACATGTACATCTGGAAACCATCGCAACGCAAGCTGTTTTGATAAGATTACGCAGTGCCACTGTAGCAGTTTTAGAATATTTCATGCACTTGAACAAAATCTCCCTGCATGCCAATACGTCCTGTTTTGGAAGACTTTGGCACTTCGTCTCCCTTTCCATGAATCGCGTCGTGACCTTTGACCTTGTTCTGTGACCTTTTTGCAGCAGTCAAAGTCACAACGCTCATTATCGCGAATTCTATAAATTCAACAACAGTGAGCAAGCTGAACCCCATAAAGAGACCGAACTGCCCTCCGATATCACCTGGAATAGTAATATCCTATGAATTAATCTATATATAAATACACTTTTATGGAACATGAAGTTACCATATTTTAATATTAAAATGTGACCTGCATGTACTCAGTACATGCCGGTGTATTGTGAATGGGAGTTTACCATGATAGAGAGTCCGCTTTCCATTCATTTGAACATGCAGACCTGGATTTTGACCCACTTGGGTCAGGATAACCCTTAACCATCAAGGCCAGAAATGCGCAGCATTCACGCGATACGCGAGGGTGCTACAGTAGGGCTTCACGTGCCTCAACTAGTCAATCACAGCACAACAGTGGCATCGCACACAGACTCTGTGATAAGTGCTCAGCCCATTGTCAGGCCCGTAACCAGCAAATTCAAAAGGGGGGGGTTCTTTTTCTGAAAAAGTGGACCTTTTACAATGAAGCTCATGTGTACCTAGATAAAAATTTACCCAAAATGGACCTTTCCCAAACAAAAAGGGCGCATCTTTCGAACCCCCCGAACCCCCCCCCCCCCCCCCTCGGCTACGTATACGGGCCTTTCAAGTAGTGTTAGTTCATGGTACATGTAACAAGCGCCTGACATGTGCAGAGGAGTTTTTTGTAATATATATTGTTCTTATCGTTACATTATTAAACCTAACTCTGTATCCAAGTAGTAACTATACTGTACCAAGCCTGGCACTGATGATGTGCAGAAGTCATATATACCAGAATAAACCGTTACCACTAATTGATAACTTTTATTTTTGTTTAATATGTTATTCATGAAAGAATTTGTTAAATCGTGATCTTATTCTTTTTATATTCAAATAAATGAATAATTTGGGTAGAATTGGTCTTCCACTTCTTACTTGCATTTTTCCTTTACTACAAGTTTATTTTGGAACAGTTGGAGCATTAAAAATTTTAATAAATAGCAATCTGAAAGAAGAATTTTGCATTTTTACTAAATGTTGATAGGAATTTTTGATTAAGAGATTAGCTAAATAGTGATATTGTCAGTCAATTTATGTAGAATTTGATAATATGATTGAAAATACTGAATGAATTCTTGGCCTTGCACCGGGCAGTTTCACATTTGTCCCAAGTGCCTTTTTTGGACTCCATTGCACAGTGGTAAAAGTTCTTCAATTGTCATGAAAGTTTTTGATCAGACTCTGTATGGTGCTTCCATCTGCTGGTGCTATCGGCAACAAATTAGTTTGTCTTTGTTTCTGAGTGAATCTACCGTCTAAAATCACTATTTCTAAAAAGATTTGCTTTTTGCTGAGGCTAGGCTAGGCTAGGCAAGGCACGGCAAACTTCTTAGTACGTGTGTACAACAGAATTAAAAAAAAAAAACAACGATATTTGGTCAGGAGTTGCATGAAGCATAACACAGCGTTGCTGTCTATCGGCATCAGGCCGTTAGTTTGTCAATTATCACGAATTACCCACGAATCACGAACCCATTCATTTTCCTATGGCAATCTAGCAACTCATTAAAAATGCACGCATGCGCAGTGGGCTAGGCGTGACGTCACGCAGTGCATTTCTGGGGATGATAAAATCAAATGGAGGGCGGTCTTCCTGTTACACGGACCCTCAATTTTGGTACACTTGGATTTACACTTGAGAACTGTCTCCTGTCCACGAAAAAAAATACTTAACCTTATAAATAGCGTAAATTCTCTTTCATACGGTGTATTTGTTAAACACTTACTAATAAGTGCGGTCCACTCCACTGCTGGAAGTTGTTCGCTTTGTTGATAATTCAAACTTTGGAAATACACGTCTAAGATGATATAATTCTTCCTGGAAAAAGAATAAAGTTCTTATAACCTCTATATAGCGTGTCAGTGTAAGTTGCCAATGGGAATATCAATTTGGTACTACCGGTAGCATTTGGTAATTTTGCAGATACACGCTACAGGTAACGGGTTTAAAATCTTATTACTGTATGAGTGACGTTACTAGGTGACGCCTAGGATGTATCACCATGCCACCATCTATCATTTGTATAATAAAGTAAATATTTTCAAATATTTTGGACATCAGCCTAAACTGAACATACCTTGCATCATCTACCGCCACCCCGAGCGTGTTTGAGGCCTCCACTTTTGTGCTCTCGCTGGGAACGAGGGAATACGAGAGCGCAGTCTGGTATACCACGCTGCTACACGGCACAGAGCAACTGCACATACCAGTGAAGTCTTGTGTCAGGTTGACTGGATAGTTTTAACAGAAAGTACAAATAAAGACACAGCATTAAATAGCGTTAGGCCTATAGGACAGAAGCACACATCATAAGACCTGTATATGGTTAACGTTTGATCCCCTGGAAATATCAAAACCAGTGTACATGGATATCACTTTCAAAAAATTCCCCAAAGTCGCGCTTATTAGATAACGCATAAGAGTTTTAAGTTTCATAGATTTATTCTATACTGGTGTTTGCCTGTGATGAAGAGAAGTAAAAGTCTAAAACACAAAACAGGCTTGTAAATCTTTTTTTTTTTTCAGCAGTGTTAGTTAATTCATAGTGTGGTGATGATGGGAAATCGCTTAGATGGCTTGGATTACTATTAGGCTATGTATTAAGGTCTAACGCAACATTGCAAAGGCCTAGCTGTCATATATATCTCACAACTGTAGACTAAACATGTAAATGCAAAATTTGGTTGACAAACGATGTAAGGTTTGATGGCACAAAACACAGATGTTTTTTTTTATAATTAGTGATGCGTATTATAAAACGTCATAATAATTAGTGATGCGCATTTGTTTATTTCGAGAAGTATTTGTTAACCATTCCTCTTTACAGTGAAAACGTTAAGCAGCTTATTCAAACAAAAAAAAGGTATGTACGTTACCCAATAGAGGCTTGACGCATGTCAGTATACGTATCAACCCGCAAACAGGTTCATTACCTGCAAATTTCAAGTTCAGTTATAATACTGAATCTTGCTGGTGACATTTCATTTATCTAATAATAATGTACAGTTCAGTTTAAAGCATATAACAAATACTACTGAACGACTTTCAGTACATTAAAACAGTGATTCCATTTATATCAGGCCTGAACACTACATTATGAACAAAAATTGCTATATCGTCCGAAAAATTGTTCATGTTTTCAGCATGTCGGATTCCAATAAATGCCCTTTGCTTTAGAAATATTGGTAACAAAAAGATTAAGTGGCAAATATATTGTTTAGTTTTGTTTATTTTTAAACTAAACATAACAGTAACACATTTATACTGCTTTGTAATAAATCGGACAGAATAAGAGACCATTCCCACAGATATTTAGATTTATCCCCCCGGGGAGTCTCACTAAATTGCTGTAAACCTGGCGGCTTAAATGTCTGTCACGCCTATTAAAGCTAGGGGTAATTACCTTTACCCTAGCCGATTCGGTAGGCGTGACAGATATTTAAGCCTCTTGAGCTGACAGCAATTTAGCGTGAACCCCCAGGGGCTAGGTCGATCCATATGGATCGATCTAAATCTGTGGGAATGCAGGAAGGAAGAAACTTACCCGGATGTTCCATCAGCCTACAGTTACAGTGCCGCAGAATATGCTTCCGCTTGCACTCCACGACACAGCCAGACATGGTATAGACAGGGTAGAACTCCAGGGAAGCTGTCTCGTTACATTGTCCATACGGTGGGTGTAATGTCGCAAACTATGATAACAGATAAGAATTCCGTTTTTCAAAGAACCACTTAAGCCAGATAAAAACTTTTTTTTCAATTTTACGTACTCTTTTTCGTATCACAAACAACGTACAACGGTTTTACATGCATGTTGACGCAAGTTGATTTTTCTACAGATCCCTAAAGTAACATCATGGACATTGAATCACAGCATTATTTTGAAAAAATGAAACGATGATGTTGGTGGTAGCTATAAAATATATCCAAAATAATATAAATGTCCAGATGGCAATAAATGTAAACCCTAAATAAAAAGTGCCATTCTACATTCACAGGTACTTACGTCAGATCGGGTCAGACCAGCATATGCATGCAACCCTGGCCCGACGGCTCTACCGTCTGTCTCTACGGACGCTGGCTCTGATTGGTTGTGAACATGGAACAATATTCCAGCATCAGGGGCGTCTCCTCTGAGTATTAAGTTTGTGTATTGTTCCTGGGGATAAAAGCAATTGAATAAATGAACTGTACTGTATACCTTCGTATATCGTGTTCTCGATAGAATATGTCTCCATGCATTCTTCATACGAAAAATCAATTAATGAATCACTTAAAATGTAAACCATTATAAGTAAATCCATTTCTGAAACCTTTGTTTTAATAGTCTGAATGTTAACTAACAACCCGTCTTATGTTATAGTACTGATTAAGAGCACTGGAAACAAGCCTTTTTGCTAGTATTATCTCGTCCTTCTTCCATGAGGAAGATATGTGTGTGTGTGTGTGTGTGTGTGTGTGTGGGTGTGTGATTGCCCAGAAAAGTAAAATAAATAAACAAATAAATTAAATACTTGAGTAGAAAACATATAACCCACCTGCTGTATGTTAATTTCTATTCGGAGGCCATTGCCAATACCTGCTTGGTCCTGGAACAAGTTTCTCGATGGATCATCACCACTATTAAATGTGTAGCAGTTTCCAAATTCGGTAAATACGTGTTTGAAGTCCTGAAATGCGTAAGCATTGTGTTTTACTCGTCGCTCCCATATTAATACATTGGTGGGTGCATTATCCATTAACATTTGAAGATATTATTTGCCCTAGCTTATATTTTTGTTTAATAATTATTCAAAATAACGATGTTTCGTCGAGCGTACAATCAAACATCTCAGTCACCAAGCGACGCACAGCGAAACTACACACGTACGTTGCAAATTAAGTTACGACGCCGTAAATAAGAACATTACACAGCAGGCATACATACCGCAGTAATATTGCAATCTTCACCTCTAAATGTGCACCGCGCGTTTCCTTCATTAAGAAGCCACCCTTTGTCTTTGGTGAAGTTAGCAAAGGTGTACCCACTGCCGTACCATGTGGTCATATTCAGTTTCTTTATGTTATCCAAGTTAATATGTGCGTATGCCCTGGAGTTCTTGCTGGATAGAGCAGCGAGGAACAGTGTAGCGCCATTTAAATACAATCTGTCCATAGTCGTCAGTCGCCTGCTTACATATCTGAAAAAATTCAAGGTTTTCATCGAATCTATTAACTGATAGCTGTAAATGAAAGATCTTGATTTAGTGCTGGATTGGTTTTTGCATGTCCCTTAATTCATAGGACTGGTATTCCATTTTGCGTTCTGAATCAAATGTTGTTTCTACTGCAGCTATTTAATTGTAAACCACCAAATCTGTGTAAAACACTTAGTGCACGAGAAGTTCAATTTACATGTTAAACTTAACAGACGGTTTTGTATTACTACGGCTGGAAGGACCGCAGAGAAGTCATCTCATTATAGTGTTAGCTAAATGTGGTTCATGTTAGACATTTGGTAGTGCTAATGGTTCCTTTGTTGCTTTCGCTCTTAATCAGCTCTGTGGTTCTTCCCCGCATTGTGAATAGAACTAAAATCTAGCATATAACATTAGCGTAATTTGTATAACATTCTTCCATAAGTTAATGCATAAAAGTAGGATTGATTGAAATGTTGTGGAAATGACTTTATATAAATAGCAATTTTATAAACATACAGGTACATGTATAAGACAAGCAGTCTATCGACACATCGCCAATAACGTACCTGTTATAATTACAAATTGTAACAGCGGGAAAGCTGAGGGAAGTGTTGAATACCATTGACGTTTTGGTTACCGTGTCTCGGCGAATAAAAGACGAAAATCTCATTTCAATCTGTATAGTAGCGACGACGAAGCCTGCCACTATTAAGATTATCCACAGTGCCTTCATCACCAGGTGGCGACTCTGTGCAACACGTGCAAACCCATGAGCGCTGGTGGAAGTGGCAAATTCTCCAAGGGAGACCCTTTTCTCGTCTGGGTCTTCGACCTTTTTCATGGCGCTGGAATATTACTAAATATTTCACTTTGAGAGGCATATAAAATAGATCATTATAGTTACCATGTTGCTATGATTTGGTGTATTTTTGTACTAAAAAGTTTTTTGTACAGCATATATTTAAACACTATAGGATGCTTACTCTCATTTACTTACATCCATAAATATAATCCAATTCACGGACAGAGCATGTTTGCCTATTTAACAGCGCACAATTGTTCCATATTCCTTATGTATGTTTTTGCAGATTTTTGTAAGTCAAATACAGCTGCGGTGTTTAAATATCAGCACGTATCTACAGTATACCCTGAAATTTGGCATGTGAAATCAAACATGCAACAAAAGCTATGGATATCATTTATTATTCAGAATGACACTTTTTAACTTTATTAATTTCTGTTTGAACAATCGGTTATATAGATTTTGCACACGCCTTATATACACATACCAGCCTCAAAGAAGTGTAGTCAGTGTAATTAAATGGTTAGTTTAACTTGTACTGATTTTTTCGTATTTATTTTCAATGCTTGTATAAACTCCTTAACTCTAACTCTATAAACTCTACTTAACTCCTTTGAATTTTGTATCCAGCAACCTACTTTAGAAAATTAAAGTAAAAGAAAAAAAATAGATAAAGTAGTATACATTATGCCCCCTGTCACACCTCATACATTGTACACCCGGTAATTATAATTGGAGAAAGTGGGACCAAAGTGTATGTTTGACAAGTCAAATGTCATTTCC